TCTCTCTCTCTCTCTCTCTCTCTCTCTCTCTCTCTCTCTCTCACACACACACACACACACACACACACACACACACACACTTGCAGGGAAACGGATGATATGGCACAGGGCCCCATGGAAATGCGAATTTGTGGCGCCTCACAGCTGGGGGGGCATTGCAGAAGGATGGCTGCCCGTCATGAGGGCATACGGCACAAGGCCCGATGGAAATGGGACCGCTAGTCCAAGGATGGCATCCTGGAAAGTTGCGGTCACTACCGACAAGGGTCTGCCGAAAATGCCCAGGGGCGCGATAAGGTAAGTCGGCCGTCGGAGGGGCGCGACGCGAAATAATGCAAATTACAGGGGCGCCAAACAAATTTTCCCAATTGGAATATGGGTCAAATTGTGGCCACGATCAATTTCACAGTTGAAATGATTTTTTTTTAATTTATCAACATTTGTTTGTGGAAATATCACAACAAAATCTACGAGCACTCCAATTTTCAGGGTTTTTAACGCATTCTTCTGAGTGCGAAAAATCACTGAATTTGGAGTACTTTTTCAGTTGGCCCACACATGGCTGAGTGGCAAAAATAGAAAATTTGCCAAATCGGCGTGGCGATTATTCCGTGGTCTAAATGATTTTTAGAAAATTTTCTGATATTTTTTCTGGAAATAACATAACCTAATACATTGATTCTCAATTTTTCATATTATTCTAAGGATTCCTCAAAGCACAGAAAATTGCCAAAGTTCCTCTTGCAAAATGTATGTTTCGTTGCACCTGACCTCCCTGTTTTCAGAAGACGAGCCTCAACGCCTGGGCCTGAGGACCCTTTTGCAGTTCACATGCAACGGAGGACCGGTCCTCCGATTTTGCTACTGCACCGGTTCTACGCATGGTAGCTGTAGGCAGTTCGTAAGAACGCGGTGGACCGGTTCCCCAACAACTTTCACCCCGTTAGAACTCACTTGTGCGCCAGTCCCCCGTCGTCGAAAATGTGCCACCCTGACACAAAAGCTGAAACCTACTATAGCGCAGCCTTAGGGCTGCAAAGTTTCCATCTCGGTCTCCACATCTCTATCTTTACACTTTCGCTGTTAACAAATGTATACAAGCCCTCTTTCCGGTTCGGTACAACCGAAATGAGGGTGTGTTGTATTCGTGGGAAGATGACAATTGCGAAGGGAGGGCGGGGGAGGAGGGAGGGGCCGAGAGAGAGAGAGAGAGAGAGAGAGGGAGAGAGAGAGAGAGAGAGAGAGAGAGAGAGAGAGAGAGAGAGAGAGAGAGAGAGAGAGAGAGAGAGAGGGCGTCTTCCCCTGAACACAACAAACCCTCATTATGGTTGTCCCGCACTGGAAAGATGGCTTGTATATCAGGGTGCATTGTGCTCGGAGGGAAAACAGTAGTTCTATCATCCTCTCACCTGATCACAACACACTCTAATAACGAATATATGCAAGCTATACCAATAACGAATGTATGCAAGTTATCTTCCGAGTCCAGTACAACCATGATGAGAGTGGGTTGGGAAACTATAAGACGGTAGTGCGTGCTACCATCCTCTCACCTGATCACAATGCATAGATGGCAAATGTGCACAAGCGACCTTTCCGAGTTGACACAACCATAATGACGTGGGTTGTGTTCAAGGGTAGGAGGTAATGCAAGGAGCGAGGGAGGGAGGCGGGGAGGGAGGAAGAGAGAAAAAGCGAGAGAAATAGAAAGAGAGGGAGAAGGCGTCTTCCCCCGAACAGAACGCACCCTCATTATGGTTGTACCAGACCGGAAACATCGCTTGCACACTATACCCCACAGGGTCACGGGGAACACAACCCTAAGGGCCTATGTTCCTTTGTTTCTATTTTGGGTCCCAACAGAGAGAGAGAGAGAGAGAGAGAGAGAGAGAGAGAGAGAGAGAGAGAGAGAGAGAGAGAGAGAGAGAGAGAGACAGAGAGACAGAGACAGAGAGGGAGAGAGAGAGAGACAGAGAAACAGAGACAGAGAGACAGAGACCGAGAGGGAGAAACTTAAAACTTGTGGCGCCTATACGACAAGGGTCCGTGACCGATGTATGGACGTGCTGTTGGTTTAACCACCATCATTTATTTTTTTGCCCATATGAATTTTTTTCTTTTTATTTTTTTAAGATAATTGCTCAATCTGTATCCCTCTATTTTCTCATATTTTTTTCAGTAAATATTATGATTACAAAAAATCGCCAAGTACATGCTCTTAACATTTTGCAATAAGTTTCGACGCCTGTGACCAAGCCCATTGGTAACTATCAGATCTTCAAGATCTGCAGTACAAAAGTTGTGGGTCTCAGATATGACTCACGAAAACGTATTGTGCACTTGTTAGGGCACACTCACACTAGGCCCTCAAAATAAAAAAATCCCAAAATAAGCAAACAAATTTACTCCTCCCTTTTACAAGGACTCAATCTGGCCGCTCATTTTGTGATTTTGCAAATTTGAGGGCCTAGTATGAGTATGCTCTTACTCTTGAGAAATGGTCCACCCCTTCAAAACTTGTCTTTAGGGTCCAAGTGAAATGGACAACCGGTCCTTTGAATTAACGAAGGTAGCAGTTCTAGGAGCAATAGCTATGGGTGTCTTCCCTCGAATACAACACATCCTCATTATGGTTGTACTAGACCGGAAAGACGTGTAACTTTGTTATCAGGGTATGTTAT